CGCAGCAGTAAATATCTTCATGCACAATCATTTCATACTTTTCTTGTTTATCTTTGGGGTATATTCCAAAAAGTGGTTTGGGATAGATGCCAAAGGGCAAAGGTACAGGAAAATTCCCTCCATGTGGAACTGTACCATTTTGCATTTTCATCAGTATTGATTATTTCTTTCCTGCACTTGCCATAGACAATGTTCTCAAGCTTCTGATTTTAGGTCAGACCTCTCTTAAATGGGAACAACTATTGTGGACTCCCAGTGTTGCCTTAAGTGATTTTAACTATTATATTACTTACATATGAGAAAACATAAAATTATATGTTTTTTATGCTTGTAGTTTTTATGAAAGTATATAACTAAAGCAAATATACATATTAAATATAAATAAGCCAATACAATTTGTATTAACAACATCAATTTAATAAATGATGTTATTTTTCTAAATGAAACGGCTACTTAAGAATGTGAATATAGCCGGGCATGGTGGCTCAGGCCTGTAATCCCAGCACTTTGGGAGGCCGAGGCAGGCAGATCACAAGGTTGAGAGATGGAGACCATCCTGGCCAACATGGTGAAACCCTGTCTCTACTAAAAATAAAAAAAATTAGCCGAGTGTGGTGGCGTGTGCCTGTAGTCCCAGCTACTCGGGAGGCTGAGGCAGGAGAATTGCTTGAAACTGGAAAACGGAAGTTGCAGTGAGCCGAGATTGCACCACTGCACTCTAGCCTGGTGATAGAGCGAGACTCTATCTCAAAAAAAAAAAAAAAAAAAGAATGTGAATATGGTATTGATTCTTGTAACACTGTTTTAAAACATTCTGTACGCATATGCACAATATTATGTGCCAGGTGTGTTGGTCAAGATCCTTTGAGTTATAGGGACAGAAAAGCTCGCTCAGCAAGGAAATAACAACCACATCATTTTGTACTATTTTGGATCACAAACACATAAAGAGAAGGTGAAACCATAATTTAAGAAATGAATGAACTCAGGGGTTGCAATTATTTCATTTGAATTCTCTACTTCTGCCCCTGGTTTTATCCATGATCGCTTCATTCTCAGATGGACTTTCTTTCTGTCTTTATCCAACTAATAGCAAAGATGGCCCATAGGTAGCTCCAAGCCAATATCATCTTTACAGATCAAGGTCATCCCAGAAATATAAGTGCCCCTTTTTCCCTCCCAAATCCAAAGCCCCTACTGAAAAAGACACCGATTGGCTTGGTTGGAGCACATGTCCTCCTTTGAAACAATCACGGAATCTTCTCAGTAGCCAGCCTAGGTCATATGCCCAACTTAATGGGAAGAAAGATAGCTCTCTTGATTTTCAGTCCTACCAAAAATCCCAAAAGAAAGGCCTGCAAGACAGATAAGACTGACAGATATCCATGCCATTGTGAAATGACAAATTTTCTACTACTTTTCTATATTGAAACTACTGGAAAAGCTTGATGTAGTACACCATTGTATGACTTGTCCTTCATGTGATGAAAATTCATTATCCACATATTAAGCATACTTCTTTTTTTTAGTATATAAAAAAAAGACTATACCATTGGAAGTAGAATTACTTGAAAAAAACATAGTAACTGAAATGACATGATAGTTCTCAGTTCTAAAGTGTCATTCAGAATACACTTACATGATTTTAATTTGAACTGTCATAACAATGAGAACCCAAGATTAAAATGTTCTTAAAGATCCAGAAACCACCCCCTCCAATTTGTGCAGATGCCATTTGAGGATTAACTCTTTAAAACATGGATAAAAATGGAATATTTTCATTAATGTAGTTTTCTAATGATGTGAGTGTTTTTTAATGTGCTGATAAATTTAATATCAAATTGATGTGTTATTGGTATTTAACCTACAATTTATAAAAGCAAATACATATAAAATAAAAACAAACACGAACATACAACTGTATAGCAAGTGCAACACTTATACCCTCAAGAGCGTTCTCTGTATATCTATCTATCTATATATATATCCTCAAATACATATATATTTTGAGATATATATATTAAACCATCTCTTTTTAAAGTTCGTTATACCCACTTGTATTAGTTTATTAATTCTGCTGTAACAAAGTACCATAAAGTGAGTGGATTATAAACAAAGAAATTTATTTCTCAGTTTTGGACACTTAGAAGTCCAAGATCAATAGGCAGTCATGTGGTGCACACCTGTAATTCCAGCTACTCAGGAAGCTGAGGTGGGAGGATTGCTTGAACCCAGGAGGCAGAGGTTGCAGTGAGCTGAGATTGTGCCACTGCCCTCAGACCTGGGTGAGAGGGCAAGATCAAGTTGCCAGTAGATTCAGCATCATGTCAGGGCCTATTTCCTGGTTCATAGTTGGTGCTTTCTTTCTGTGTCCTGACATGGTGGAAGAGTCAAACAAGTTTCCTCTGGCTTATTTGATAATGGCACTAATCCCATTTGTGAGGGCTCTGCCCTCATGACCTAATCACCTTGATAAAAGGCCCTACCACCTAATACCTTCACACTGGAGATTAGATTTCAACATATGAATTTTGGGGGAACACAAACATTCAAACCATAGTACCACTTCAGGATGCGATGGACAGAGATGAAAAAGAAGTTACTGATTTTGCTCAGGTCCCAAAGTCATGGAACTGGATTCACTTTGTTAATTCAGGAAGTGCTTCTCATGTACCTGACCTTAGTGTACCTCCACTGGCCAAACTTCCCTCACAGACAAGAAGGGCAGGTGGAATATCATCTCCACAAATCATTGGCAGCTTTACTGGTTTAGAAAGACATGGTCTTTAGAGCTGGAGGAATGAGAAAATGGACTAATATGGAGGTTAGTTTAAGCTAGAAAATCTTTCTTTTCTTTTTTCTTTTTTTTTTTTTTTTTTTTTGAGACAGAGTTTCGCTCTTGTTACCTAGGCTGGAGTGCAATGGCGCGATCTTGGCTCACTGCAACCTCCGCCTCCTGGGTTCAGGCAGTTCTCCTGCCTCAGCCTCCTGAGTAGCTGGGATTACAGGCACGCACCACCAAGCCCAGCTAATTTTTTGTATTTTTAGTAGAGACGGGGTTTCACCATGTTGACCAGGATGGTCTCGATCTCTTGACCTCGTGATCCACCCGCCTCGGCCTCCCAAAGTGCTGGGATTACAGGCGTGAGCCACCGCGCCCGGCTGAAAACCTTTATTTTCTTACGAATTTTGACGTTTAAGAAAAGACAGCTTCCCCCCGTAAGAACAGATCTGGTGAAATGGTGAAAGATGGAAAGCCAGCTATGTAGGAGGTATAAAGACATGAGTCACTTTGTTTTGAAACATCAAGTTTCTACCTAATGTTAGAAGGAGTTTTTAGAGAAATGGAGGCATAGCTACAAATGAACTAGAAAGAAACCCTATGTATTTGCTTTATAAAGAAACTGTGACTTTGAGGACAGCTTTTACATTTAGGGAAAAAAAATTACATGGGAAAAATTGTCACCAGCAGCACACAAGCTATAGTGAAATGACTGAAAACATTGAAGTGACTGAGCTCAAGAATATGACAATATCAAGATACTTCTTTGCAAATGTGTCCCTTGTAGATGCAAAGTGTAAAATACCAAATCTTGGGGTAAAATCAACTTTGCGAAAGACTCACTTCCACGTAAATGTTTGCACCTTCTCAATGGGCTCGAATTTTGTGGGTGAATGTTATTAATGGTAATGGGACTTAGGTACACAAATCCTTCTCTGTGTCACTGGGAGATGGGAACTCTTAGTATGCAAAGTCTCTGCTGAAATCAAAGGCAATTTGCATAAGGTCCCCATCGGTTGCTTAATGCATAGTGTAGCTGGCATCCAGTGCATGCTGAAGTGCACCATAAACCCTCAAACACAAAATGGCTCTGTGCATTAATGCTGCTTAGGAAAGTGCTCGCTATTAAATACTTCCCCAGTATTAAATATCTTGATATTTATTCTTAAGTAAGATTTTAAAAAATACTTATCATCACACTGCAGTTGATATGCAAATTTGAAAGCAACATTTCAGAAGGAAGCAAAATAATGCCACCAAACTGTTTATAAATGCTTCCATTTAGAAATGGTTTGCATCATCTATGAGTTAACTCCAATTCTCTCATACCAGCTAAATAATTATTTCATCAAATGGAATTGAATCTTAGTTTCTCAGTTTGCAGAGAGAAGAAAATCCAAAAGAAGAAGCAGAAATTAAATTGAAGTTCAGGCAATGCGTTTTGAGGCGAAAATAATAGCAATATGTGGCTGGTATTTTCAAAGCTTGGCTTTTATTTTATGTTTTACATTTATTTTTATTTTAAAGCTGCAACAGTGTTTTCCAGCAGGTGTCACTGTAGGCAAATGTAAAATGACAAATACGTCGTTCCCACAGCTTGTGGCCAATGGTTCCTTGAGAAAAAGATTTATATTCAGACTTCTCAATTATGATTTTGTTTCTGGTGTTGTCACTGTTGTTAATATTAGTCTCCTAGCATAATTTTCTGTTCCTATTGATGCACTCACAATGCAGTAACACTACTCAGTTGGATGAACAGAAGCAGCAGTGTGCACTGTGATGTTCCATCCAGTTTGGGGGTAGAACTTTTATCATTTATAGAAAAGAATCTTAGAATCTTGAAAAGTCTTATCTAATTAAGACATATTTTAATTCTGAAGTCTCTGGGGGATTTCTTCGGATTTCTTCTAATAGTCTTAATTAGAAATTTCTGATTTTTATGGTTTCTATATAAGCTTTGTTTAAAAAAACTCTAAAGTTTTATCGGGAAGGAAAAGCTGTAAAAGTATTCAGCAACAACACTTATCATTAGTCTGGGATGGGTATGTGAAAGGGAAGGAAGAACAGTAATAACATTACTGGTTACCTTGAAATTATGCTTCAATAGTTGGGTTAGAATTGAATTCACATTATTCAGCCTGCAAAGAACGTTTCATTAGTTCCCAGAGAAACCATTTCTGAACATATTATCTCAAGGAAATCCAGAGAATCCATTATTTCTCTTGCCCCCTTCTCTTTAGTATGCACAGCACGGAGATAGGGAAGAAGAATGATAAACTAGCAGGAGAATTTTCCAGGAGTTATTTTGCTGATTTCAAAGTTTTCCTATTTTCTGGTAGCCATGAGCATCTTGGCATAGTTTTCAGAACTCCTAAGGAACTGTTTGGTCTACATATATAGACTAGAATTGGCTGCTGATAATTGGACATGTGCAGATAGATTTTTTAAAAATGTATACAAGAGAAAGTGGTTTAAAATACCCATCTCATCTCATGCCCAATACAAAAGGCCCGTATAATTGAAAAAAAAAATGTTTTGTCCCCTTGATTCTTAGGAGAAGAAAGTTTTATTCCATGCATCCAAGCAGGTAAGCAAAAATACTAATTTCTCCATTTTATAATCAACTCACAAACTCTCAGGGAAATTGCTGGTTCCTGTGACTACAGTTCTGAATCCCAAAATAGGATCCACATCTCCTGACTCACTTCTTTCCCCTAGAACACGTCGCCTAAAATAGGGTTGTTTTTTAGAATCCGAAAACATGTTTTCCTTTTAATAATGTCAGCGTTTACCAAGCCCCAACTCTATATCTGGATTATGCTAAGTACTTTGTGCATGTTTCTCTCAATTCATTTTCTCCTTGCTCCCCTTTCCTATGATGTAGGTACTATCATTCCTTTTCTATCAACACAGGAACAGATTCGAAGAGAATAACTCGCATGGGACACTGCAGCTGGGAAGCACAGAGAAGGGGCCAGATTTGGGTCTTTCCAAATCTAAAAGCCTTTTTTCTTCACCGGTATACTCCCACAGCAAAAATGATACGTTATTTAGGATAACAGCTATCCTTGGGAAGTTACACAAAAGAAACCAAGGCACTTTTCCTGTACTATGTGTGGTTTAGGTTAGAACCAGCCTCATCTTGTTCAAGGTGTTTCAGCTATAGCCCTGTATGGTACCGGCTGTGTTCAGAATAATGCCTGCAATTCCTAATGATGTTTCCCTGATCTCACTTATTAAGCAAAACCATATATCTATACATTTAAGGTAAGATTCTTAACAAAATCAAAGGCTCTTCTGGGAAAAGAGAATAACCAGAAACTTTGAGCATTGTAAACCTCACAGCCTGTTGCATTTTAAGAAAGTGTAGTCAATATAGTGAAAGAACCTCAAAGGACTACTCATAGTTCAGTTTGCAACATGTTAGAACATTTCCATTTGAGGCTTCCTGGAAAGGCATTTGGACTGTAACTGAACTGCAACGAAGTGAAGAGTTTACAGTGAATTTAAAGTCAGAGAGTCTTGGGTTAAAATCTTTACTCTGTCACTTTTCCTGAACCTCAGTTTTCTCATCTCTAAAATGGAGACTAATAGAAAAACAGCAGCAGCAATGTATCAGTGGTGTTTGTTAGGGGGTGAGCAACATTCTAAGTGCCGCAGGCGTGTCTCACTTTATGTTCATAGAGCACTCTACACAATGCATGCCACATATTAGAAAGCCAGTTTTTTTTGCTTGTTTCCTTTTGTTTTTGAAAGGAGGACAAGGACTCTCACAAATTCATCTTTAACATTGTAAAGGAAACTGAGAATCTGTCTTAAAACTAGGAGTCTGTGTTAAGGAATTACTGGATATTTGCATTTTGTTTTCTCATTTTCCTATTAGTTCATTCATTCTCACTTAATTGGCATGCTTTTCTCACCTATCATGACCAGTTTACTACTTTTTCAGGAACCTGTTTTTCCATGTTATTTCCTTTGAAAGCCTCATGGCCTCTCTTCTCCTGGGTCTCAGGCACTGGAGGGTGGGGCTTGCTGCCTGTAGGTGCTCCCTGGACCCAGTACTCCCACATCAGGGTTGGGAGTTAATGCTTCTGGTAGGAATAAAGTTACGTTCAAGCATGCATGTACACATGTACGCACACACACACCCACAAAGCTAACAAGTTAAATCATATATATGAGTTATGATTTATTGTGTCAAAGGTGACGTGTGCTCCTTGAAGAATAGTGGGAAAATATAGAAAGTATTTAGAGAGAAATCATGTCAGTAACAGAAATAGTAAGTAACATTGTATTCTTGCTTTCTAAATATCCTTAACTTAATCCATGTGATTTAGTATCTTTTTAAAATATGCTTTCTCTTTATACTAAAAAACTGTAGATTGCTGAAGTTTAATGGTAATACTGAATTTAAATTTCTTTCAGCTTTTCCCTAAGTTACATATGTCTCTTTCTTCTGCATTGTGTGTCTCCAATTACTTTTCCACACAGCACACAAAATAATGTTGTAAAGAAGTAAATCAAGTCCCGTCACTTGCCTGCTTCAGGTTTTTTCCTAAATGGCTTCTGGGATGCGGCTGCTTTGACCCTCCTCTCATCATTCTCAGCTCCAGCGACCTTTCTGAACCTCCCTGGGCTGCTCCAATCTCAGTTCTGCCTCTCCAACCCCTTCCTCTGGTTAATGTCAGTTCTCAGCTTGGTGTCACTGTATCCTGGAAAAAAATAGACACAAGCCCCTAAAAGGATAGATGCACAGTGTTCATTTAAAAAGAGAACAAGTTTTCCCAGATCGCCAGGTACCTGCAGTGATCTGTGTGGCCAGGCAAATATTTATGATAATTTACAGACAAACATATGTATAGGTTTACACACACACACACACACACACACACACACACACACACACACACACACACACGGTGGGGGGAATAGCATTTCCAGGAGCACAAAGACCTTTGCTCTTTAGAATGACTTGAAAAGAAAACTAGATGAGCATATCTGTGAAGCTGAAAGTAGTATTTGTGAGTTGTAGGTAGCCAGCTGAGGTTAGATCAGCAACATGTTTACATGGTATTAAAATGAGTAGAGGGGATGCTGGTAAGGAAGAAAAAGCAGTATGGAGTTTGAAGAGATATTTGCTGCAAGATTTTAATGTGAATCTCGGTAAACATGACTCCTCTGAGGAAAATACCTGAAAGGATGTCCCATGTATCCGTTTATTTCCTTCAACCATATATCTTCCTTCATACAAAAAAACAAAACAAAACAAAAAAACACAGAAAATCCCACAAGAAACTTAAAGCAGCTTTTGACTTCCCCAGAACTGGCTTTAAGCATAAATTATTTTCCTAAAGAAGAAATGAGGAAAGATTGGTATTGGAAACATATGGGTAACCATTTGGAGAGCCCTGTGCTGAAGTGGACCCATCCATCATTCATCCTTCCATCCATCATTGGCCCAAAATGTATTAAATACCAGTTAAATTCCAGATGCTATGCTAAGGGCTGGGCATTCTAGGACAAATATTCTTTCCCACTGTGGGGGATGAGCTTAAGCTATGCAACTGTCTCAGGTTATAAAATAATGATTAGACTGAGAAGGAAGACAGGAAAGAAACCCTTCCTTCTTCCTTGGGTGCTCATTTCCTCACCCTGTCTGTGAAAACAAAAAGTAAGTCTTAATGTGAGAGATTTCCACTGGCTCTAAGCACAACACCCAAAGTAAAGTTAGGGTTCAGTCACAGTTTATTAAATGAGTGAATAAGTCAACATACAAGTTACTGTGTCCCAAAGGCTTCAGGAATCCAAATCTGAGAATATAATGGTGACATTTTCTCCTGTAAAGTCAAAGTGTAATCAATTAAATCACCTTTTCAGAAGGGAGCAGAGGGCTGTCAAATTGATAGCTTCCGTGATTAGCTCTCTTCCCCACTCAGACCATCTAATCCTTTTCTGCTAAAGGGCACCCAGGGCCACCCCTGTTGGGTGTTCTCCTCAACCTGTCCAGTCCCCTACCACTTGTCACATTTCATCTCAGCCGTCAATCCTCAGCCAGTTTTGTCTGGGTCCTGAACTTCCAAACACCCTCCCTGCTCCTGGGCCTTCCCCTGTCACGCTCCACTTTCCACATGCATTTACTGGCTAAGAAACACATACTGCAGCTGTCTGCACAGCAGACTTCCAATTGAGGCCTCCTCACAATGAGGAATGATGACATGATGTGGGTGAGTCAGGGGACTCCTTTACCTCACAGTACAGGTGAACCCCTTGCTATGGACTTTCACCCACCCACTCCTTCTCAGAGACCTGTGTCTATAGGAAACAATTGGTAAAACTAAGCATGGCGGAGGTGCAGCTGGTGGATAATAACTTAACCTTCTCTCGGGAAATTCGCCTGTAAAAGTGGGCTCACAGAGAAACAATGCCTCAGTGCATTCTTGTCGTCGAATCTGGGTTTGATAGCAGGCTGCTGGGGAAGATCTGTTTGAGCTGCGGTTTTCCGTGATGATGATCTTTGATCATGAACAGGCAGAAGAGAGTGCGCACCTCGGAGCCTGCGAACATTGACTCCATTTATGCATTTATTCATCACCCTTGCATACAGGTCCTGTTATGTACCATTCTTGTATTAGACTCACAACAGGGAGGAAAAACAGTTCTACCTCAAAGAGCTCAGAGTCTAGTAGGTCTATAGATGCACAAGTGGACCAGTATGACGTAGCATTTTAAATGGAATGGTAGAGATGCACAAAGAACATTAGAAGAAAACCTCACCTACAGACAGGGGACATTGGGTTAGGTAGTAGATGGATAAAATGGCAGGTAGGTCCTGAAACTACCCATGCGTAACTGATGATAGGATCAGAGAGCTTAAGACCCATCAGATAACTGGGACAGGCTGGAGTCAGGAAAACAGAGTCCATAGCAGGCCATTCAACAGAGATAATTTAATACAGAGAAATCGTTCCAAAGGTACTGGAAGAGTCTAAAGACCAAACAGGACAGCCAGGAAACCCAGAAATTAGCAACAGTAGGAAGCTAGTAGGAAGCAGCTCATACCCCTGAAGCTGGGGGGACAAAGGGTAGACCTGGTGTTTGAAAGCCCAGGAGACAGCACCGCCTGATGGGAGCAGAACCACAGAGGACACAAGGTTACTGCCCAAGACACACTGGAAGCAGAGAGACAGCCTGTTCCCTAGCCTGTTTTCTGTCTGCTCTTGAATCACTTTTCACTGCCTCCCACTGGCCAAGATGACCGTAGGCCATTTAGCAGGACTGGGATCCCAGTAGAGCAAGGGGTATGTGGGGATGGATCTGGGGGCAAATAGACAAATTACCGGCACAGTCATCTTCGTTGTCTGTGTCACCTGTGACAGCCATCATTTCCTCAAAGTTGTCCTATTTGTTGTGAGTAGAATCAAGTCTGGAACTTGGGTAAGGTGAAAAGTAGTGATTCAAGTAGAATTTACAGGGGCACAGTTACGTTCCAGGCCACATGCTGGGCTTCTCGCAAATATTATCTCATTTAATACTTCAAATATCTGTATACAATGGCTTTCTCTTGGTCCAGTTTCTTCTCAAAGCCAAATGATCTGACATTCAAAGAGAGAGAGAAATAAACAAGAGAAAAAGAAAACTTTGATTTTTTTTTATAGAAAAATCTTTAGGTGACGGCTAAGAAATCTGGCGGTATGGTTTAGTATCTATTCCAACTTCATTTTGCATTAGCCTTCTAATAGGATAGGCCTAAGGATGCTAAGTAAATAGATTCCAATGTGTGGCTGAGAATCCCTGGGGCCTGCACATGCTGTCTTCACAGCGGTATTCTACTACTTTTCATATGTATGCCATTGCTAATGGGAAAAAATACACATTTATTTAAAATCATGAGGAAATTCAGAGTAGCTTTTTGTAATTTTGCACATTTTCAATTAATGGATAAAATCTATATGATCACTGTCATGTGGTGACCTGATAAATTTTGAGCGTTGAAAAAGGACCCTTCCTACTTGGAACAGTAGAAAAATCATACTGTGAAACTATTACCATGAGAAAGTGGGATATTGCAGGAAGAGCTTGCCCAATTAATGACAACTGGCATTTGTTAAGTGTTCTGGTGCTATGCATGTGTTAAATCATTAATTCTCACATCAGCCCTACAGGTGAGCCATATTATTATTAAGATTCCTATTTTACAGATGAGGAAACAGAGGCACAGAAGAATTAAGTGTGGCCTAAGGTCTTTGAACTTGTGGTAAATGGTAGAGCCAGGATTTGAACCTAGTCAGTTTGCTTCTAAGCTTCACATTTTTAACCACTGCTTATTCTCCTTCTAATTTTTTAAATCTCCTGTCCTATGTGTTAAATCACATCAAGCTAAAAAAGAAAATTGACAAAAGGGTATAAGGAAGATGATTACAGACACATAAAATCCATTGGCAGTCAACTATTCATATGAATTTACAGGAATTTTACCATATTTAAAAATACCATTTTAATTTTGGTATCTTTAGATGATAAATAGAATGTACATATATATTTCCTCTCATTTTCAAACTCATAATAATTATGTAATTTTCTTCACCTTAGTAGAGCAAACTGTTAATAAATTGAGTGGTTAGTGCTTAAAGACTGTTAAAAACCACTTCAAATAACATGCCAATCTCATCTTCACAGTAATACCAGGTTGTTAATTAGCTGAGCTACCCAAATACAGAGATGATAGTTAAAATGGTTTTGAGTAGGAGGCGACAGTGATGCCCTGCCTGTTTCACAACATGCTCTATGCTGTGCACTTCAACACCCATTCTTTAAAATAAACATTTCCTACACTATTTCTCACCTTTTTCTTAAGCATGAGATTCCACTGAAAAATAAAGTTCTTGCTAATTAAATACGTCCATAAACAATGGATCTTGTATCAATGGGAAATACGTAAGAATGAAGCGTTCAAGGAAGGGAATTTTTCTCCACTTGAGTACACAAGAGGAAAATGTCATTCCTGTTGAACCTTTTGGAAATGCCAGTTTTAGAAAACTTTAAAATGGTTGAATGATTAAAAATAGTTTTTATTTGGGAAAAAAAAAAGCCACTTTCATGTTGCAGTAGCAGCTACCCTTGTGTAGAGATCTCTAGTCTTAATGTCATTGCTTTTTTCTAGAGAAAGATCATTTTGCTGGGGTATGGCGGGGGGTGGGGGCAAAGACTCATGGTCTTTATCGTTTCTTCATTTCCAGTGGCAGTGCCTTTCATCAGGGCTATGCCTTCAACAGCCATATCATGTTGATTTCATTCTATAGCCAAATAGCATTTGTTTGACAAATACTTCTTCAGTGTTTTCAGTGGTCCAGGCCTTGGGCAAATCTGGGGATATTTTTATTACTAGGAAGTAGGTCCTGGCCTGAAGGAGCTACCAGTCAAGGAGAGAAGTCTGATATGTAAATGGAAAACTACAACCAATGTGTTTATCATTTGTAAGAGACATCCCACATAGAGAGCTGTGGGAAAGAGGCAAAGACCATGATCTGTGCCTTCACTGGGGAAAGAATGGGAGACAGCAGGATGCAGTTGGCCAGGAGAAGTTTTGCAAAGGTTGAGCCTCAGGAATGATGGGGAGAGTCTGTCAGAGGCATGGGGAAGAGCATGTCAGTGGAAAGGAAAGGCATAAAGTCCAATGGGGGTACTGAAGAAATGGACAGGCTTGAATTTGAGTTATAGACCAGTGACTCCTGTGCCACGCAATCTGAGCAAACTCCTTATCCTCACAGAATGCAATGGGGAAAGTCATCCACATTGTGCAGCATTGTAGGGAGAATTAAAAATCATGTATCTAATTTGTCTGGCCCTGTGCTGAGCATGGACCTTCTCCAGGGGCCTCCTCCTCTTCATCCGGTTGGTTCCTGCAACAGCTTCAATGTCGCCACCTGGCCTCTATTTTTTTTTTTTTTTTTCCCATTTATTTATTTTATTGCATTTTACATTTTGGGGTACATGTGAAGAACATGCAAAATTGTTGCATAGGAACACACGTGGCAGTGTGATTTGCTGCCTTCCTCCCCATCACCTACACCTGGCATCTCTCCCCTTGCTATCTCTCCCCAGCTTCCCACCCCCCACCCTCCCTCCCCCATTTCCCCCCAACTGACCCCAGTGTGTAGTGCTCCCCTCCCTGTGTCCATGTGTTCTCATTGTTCAACACCCGCCTATGAGTGAGAACATGCGGTGTTTGATCTTCTGCTCTTCTGTCAGTTTGCTGAGAATGATGGTTTCCAGGTTCATCCATGTCCCTACAAAGGACCCAAATTCATCGTTTCTGATGGCTGCATAATATTCCATGGTGTATATGTGCCACATTTTCCCTATCCAGTCTATCGTCGATGGGCATTTGGGTTGGTTCCAGGTCTTTGCTATTGTAAACAGTGCTGCAATGAACATTCGTGTACACGTGTCCTTATAGTAGAACGATCTGTAATCCTTTGGATATATACCCAGTAATGGGATTGCTGGGTCAAATGGAATCTCTATTTCTAGGTCCTTGAGGAATCGCCACACTGTCTTCCACAATGGTTGCACCAATTTACACTCCCACCAACAGTGCAAAAGTGTTCCTATTTCTCCACATCCTCTCCAGCATCTGTTGTCTCCAGATTTTTTAATGATCGCCATTCTAACCGGCGTGAGATGGTATCTCAGTGTAGTTTTGATTTGCATTTCTCTGATGACCAGTGATGATGAGCATTTTTTCATATGTTTGTTGGCCTCACGTATGTCTTCTTTTGAGAAGTGTCTGTTCATATCCTTTGCCCACTTTTGAATGGGCTTGTTAGTTTTTTTCTTGTAAATCTGCTTTAGTTCTTTGTAAATTACGGATATCAGCCCTTTGTCAGATGGGTAAACTGCAAAAATTTTTTCCCAATCTCTTGGTTGCCGATTCACTCTAATGATTGTTTCTTTTGCTGTGCAGAAGCTGTGGAGTTTGATTAGGTCCCATTTGTCTATTTTGGCTTTTGTTGTCAATGCGTTTGGCGTTTTGGTCATGAAGTCCTTGCCTACACCTACGTCCTGAATGGTTTTGCCTAGATTTTCTTCTAGGGTTTTTATGGTGTTAGGTCTTATGTTTAAGTCTTTAATCCATCTGGAGTTAATTTTAGTGTAAGGTGTCAGGAAGGGGTCCAGTTTCTGCTTTCTGCACATGGCTAGCCAGCTTTCCCAACACCATTTATTGAACAGGGAATCCTTTCCCCATTGCTTATTTTTGACTGGTTTGTCAAAGATCAGATGGTTGTAGATATGTTGTGTTGCTTCCGAGACCTCTGTTCTGTTCCATTGGTCTATATCTCTGTTTTGGTACCAGTACCATGCTGTTTTGATTACTGTAGCCTTGTAGTATAGTTTGAAGTCTGGTAGTGTGATGCCCCCCGCTTTGTTCTTTTTGCTTAGAATTGACTTGGCTATGCGGGCTCTCTTTTGGTTCCATATGAAGTTTAAGGTGGTTTTTTCCAGTTCTGCAAAGAAGGTCATTGGTAGCTTGATGGGGATAGCATTGAATCTGTAAATTACTTTGGGCAGTATGGCCATTTTCACGATATTGATTCTTCCTAACCATGAACATGGGATGTTTCTCCATCTGTTTGTGTCCTCTCTTATTTCGTTGAGCAGTGGCTTGTAGTTCTCCTTGAAGAGGTCCTTTACATTCCTTGTTAGTTGTATTCCTAGGTATTTTATTCTCTTTGTGGCAATTGTGAATGGAAGTTTGTTCTTGATTTGGCTCTCTTTAAGTCTGTTACTGGTGTATAGGAATGCATGTGATTTTTGCACATTGATTTTGTATCCTGAGACTTTGCTGAACTTGCTTATCAGTTTCAGGAGGTTTGGGGCTGAGACGATGGGGTCTTCTAGATATACAATCATGTCGTCTGCAAATAGAGACAATTTGACTTCCTCCTTTCCTATTTGAATGCCCTTTATTTCTTTTTCTTGCCTGATTGCTCTGGCTAGAACTTCTAATACTATATTGAGTAGCAGTGGTGAGAGCGGGCATCCTTGTCTGGTGCCACATTTCAAGGGGAATGCTTCCAGTTTTTGCCCATTCAGTATGATATTGGCTGTTGGTTTGTCATAAATAGCTTTTATTATTTTGAGATATGTTCCATTGATACCTAGCTTACTGAGTGTTTTTAGCATAAAGGGCTGTTGAATTTTGTCAAAGGCCTTCTCTGCATCAATTGAGATAATCATGTGGTTTTTGTCTTTGGTTCTGTTTATGTGGTGAATTACGTTTATAGACTTGCGTATGTTGAACCAGCCTTGCATCCCCGGGATGAAGCCTACTTGATCATGGTGGATAAGCTTTTTGATGTGCTGTTGCAATCGGCTTGTCAGTATTTTATTGAAGATTTTTGCATCTATATTCATCATAGATATTGGCCTGAAGTTTTCTTTTCTTGTTGAGTCTCTGCCGGGTTTTGGAATCAGGATGATGTTGGTCTCATAAAATGATTTGGGAAGAATTCCCTCTTTTTGTATTGTTTGGAATAGTTTCAGAAGAAATGGTACCAGCTCCTCTTTGTATGTCTGGTAGAATTCAGCTGTGAACCCATCTGGACCTGGGCTTTTTTTGGGTGGTAAGCTCTTAATTGCTGCCTCAACTTCAGACCTTGTTATGGGTCTGTTCAGGGTTTCGGCTTCTTCCTGGTTTAGGCTTGGCAGGAGGCAAGTGTCCAGGAATTTATCCATTTCTTCCAGGTTTATTAGTTTGTGTGCATAGAGTTGTTTGTAATAATCTCTGATGATGGTTTGAATTTCTGTGGAATCTGTGGTGATATCCCCTTTATCGTTTTTTATTGCATCTATTTGGTTATTCTCTCTTTTCTTTTTTATTAATCTGGCTAGTGGTCTATTTTGTTGATCTTTTCAAAAAACCAGCTCCTGGATTTATTGATTTTTTGAAGGGTTTTTTGTGTCTCTATCTCCTTCAGTTCTGCTCTGATCTTAGCTATTTCTTGCCTTCTGCTAGACTTTGAGTTTTTTTGATCTTGCTCCTCTAGCTCTTTCAGTTTTGACGATAGGGTGTCAATTTTTGATCTCTCCTTGTTTCTCATGTGGGCACTTATTGCTATATATTTTCCTCTAGAGACTGCTTTAAATGTGTCCCAGAGATTCTGGTATGTTGTGTCTTCATTCTCGTTGGTTTCGAAGAACATCTTTATTTCTGCCTTCATTTCATTGTTTATCCAGTCAACATTCAAGAGCAAGTTGTTCAGTTTCCATGAAGCTGTGCGGTTCTGAGTTAGTTTTTGAATTCTGAGTTCTAACTTGATTGCACTGTGGTCTGAGAGACTGTTTGTTACGATTTCCGTTCTTTTGCATTTGCTGAGGAGTGATTTACTCCCAATTATGTGGTCAATTTTAGAGTAGGTGTGATGTGGTGCTGAGAAGAATGTATATTCTGTGGATTTGGGGTGGAGAGTTCTGTAAATGTCTATTAGGTTTGCTTGGTCCAGGTCTGAGTTCAAGTCCTGGATATCCTTGTTAATTTTCTGTCTGGTTGATCTGTCTAATGTTGACAATGGGGTGTTAAAGTCTCCCACTATTATTGTGTGGGAGTCTAAGTCTCTTTGTAAGTCATTAAGAACTTGCCTTATGTATTTGGGTGCTCCTGTATTGGGTGCATATATATTTAGGATCGTTAGCTCTTCTTGTTGCATTGATCCTTTTACCATTATGTAATGTCCCTCTTTGTCTCTTATGATCTTTGTTGCTTTAAAGTCTAATTTATCAGAGATGAGAATTGCAACTCCTGCTTTTTTTTGCTCTCCATTTGCTTGGTAAATCTTCCTCCATCCCTTTATTTTGAGCCTTTGTGTATCCTTGCATGTGAGATGGGTTTCCTGGATACAGCACACTGATGGGTTTTGGCTTTTTATCCAATTTGCCAGTCTGTGTCTTTTGATTGGGGCATTTAGTCCATTTACATTTAGGGTTAATATTGTTATGTGTGAATTTGATACTGCCATTTTGGTGCTAGCTGGCTGTTTTGCCCTTTAGTTGAGCTGGTACTTGTTGTTCCTTTATATGTGTAGAGCCTCTTTCAGGAGCTCTTGTAGAGCTGGCCTGGTGGTGACGAAATCTCTGAGTACTTGCATGTTCCCAAAGGATTTTATTTTTCCTTCACTTATGAAGCTTAGTTTGGCTGGATAGAAGATTCTGGGTTGAAAGTTCTTTTCTTTAAGGATGTTGAATATTGGCCCCCATTCTCTTCTGGCTTGTAGGGTTTCTGCTGAGAGATCTGCTGTGAGTCTGATGGGCTTCCCTTTATGGGTAACCCGACCTTTCTCTCTGGCTGCCCTTAGTATTTTCTCCTTCATTTCGACCCTGGTGAATCTGACGATTACGTGCCTTGGGGTTGCTCTTCTTGACGAATATCTTTGTGGTGTTCTCTGTATTTCCTGGACTTGAATGTTTGCCTGCCTTGCTAGGTTGGGGAAATTTTCCTGGATAATATCCTGAAGAGTATTTTCCAGCTTGGATTCATTCTCTTCGTCGCATTCAGGTACGCCTATCAAACGTAGATTAGGTCTTTTCACATAGTCCCACATTTCTTGGAGACTTTGTTCATTCCTTTTTACCCTTTTTTCTCCAGTCTTGCCTTCCCGTTTTATTTCATTGAGTTGATCTTCGACCTCTGATATCCTTTCTTCTGCTTGGTCCATTCGGCTGTTGATACTTGTGCATGCTTCACGAAGTTCTCGTGTTGCATTTTTCAGCTCCATCAATTCACTTATATTCCTTTCTATTTTGTCCATTCTTGTTAGCATTTCATCAAATCTTTTTTCAAGGTTCTTAGTTTCTTTGCATTTGGTTAGAACATGTTCTTTAAGTTCACAGAAGTTTCTTACTACCCATCTTCTGAATTCTGATTCTGTCATTTCATCACACTCGTTCTCCATCCAACCTTGTTCCCTTGCTGGTGAGGAGTTGTGATCCCTTTTAGGAGGAGAGGTGTTCTGGTTTCGGGTGTTTTCATCCTTTTTGCGCCGGTTTCTTCCCATCTTTAAGGATTTATCCACCTGTCGACTTTGTAGTTGCTGGCTTTCAATTGGGTCTCAAATCTTTCAGATTGACGTTCTGTTTGTTGATGATGAGGTTATTTCTGTTTCTTGGTTTTCCTTCTGACAGTCTGGCCCCTCTGCTGTAGGTCTGCTGAGGTTCACTCCAGGCCCTGCTTGCCTGGGGTTCACCTGCAGCAGCTGTTGAACAGCAAGGGTTGTTACCAGTTTTCTTCTTCTGCTATCTTTGTCCCAGATGGATACCCGCCTAGTGTCAATCTGATCTCTCTTTTATGAGGTGTCTTTTTGGATATATAGGGGTCAGGGAGCTGCTTGAGGAGACGGTCTTTTCTTTATAGGAGCTCAAATGGTGAGTTGTGAGCTCTGTTGCTGTTCATTCAGAGCTGCTGGGCAGGTACTTTTAGGTCTGCTGCAGCTGAACTCATAAACTGCTTTTTGTTCCCAGGTGCTCTGTCCCAGGGATTTAGGGCTTTATTTATGAGTTTCGGTTATGCTGCCGCCTTCTTTTTTTTTTCCTTCAGACCTGCGCAGCCCAGCAAGGAGGCCGCCTAGTCACTGTCGGCCTATGGCAGCTTTGCTGAGCTGCTGTGGGCTGCGCCCCGCTGCCAAGTGAACTTTCCTGCAGTCCTGATTATATGGGTGTAGTTAGAACTGCTTTGGCGATGGTGGCCCGCCTCTGTTGGGGCGGAGTCTCTGCTGTGACGGGTTGCCTTGGCAATGGCGGGCTGCCTCAGCAATGGCAGGTTGCCTTGGCAACGGCGGGCTGCCTCAGTAATGGCGGACGCCCCTCCCCGACAGAGCTGGACCGTCCCGGGTTCAGCTGCGCTTGCTGTGAAATTCTCAATCCAGAGTTTCTGGTTGCTGTTCTTTTGTGGGGGTGGGGCCAGCCGAGCCTGATCGCCTGGCTCCCTGCCTCAGAGCCTTTTTTAAGTTGGTGTTCCAGTCGCCTGTTGAAGAGGCGCGGGGGTCTGTTTGTTTTCCCCTGCGGCCACTCACTGCGCTGGCTTAAACAGCGGCACTGAGGTTTGTGGCGCTTTCTTTTCTTTTTTTTTTTTTGCCCTGGAATCTACTGTCCTGGTTCTCTGCTCAGTCCCCTTTTTGAACCAGCGTATGGGCGACTTCCCGTGGCTCCAATCGCCAGCCTAAAGGGCCCCCGGACCGGTGTATTTTGTATGGAGAACCGCGGCTCCAGGGCGCCGACAAAGCAGCCGCGCGGGGCAGAGCAGTGGCGCTGGCCGGCACAGCAGCGCTGGCCACAACAGCCGCGCTGGCGAGCGTGGAGCACCTCTGCCCGGGAATTTCCTAGTCTGTGGGCAATAAAAACGCGGCGTCCACTCACCCTCTGCGCTTTCACTGGGAGCTGCAATCCTGAGCTGTTCCTAAACGGCCATCTTGGATCTCCCCCCTGGCCTCTATTTTTAAAGCCGCCTTTCACCACAGCGCATTCTTTGTTTGGTCACATAATCATGGCCAGTTTCCTCCCTTAAAATGCAAGTTCCATGAGGGCAGGATTTGTCGTTAGCAGCTATGTCTTCAGCACCTGAGCAGTGCCTGGCACATAGTAGGTGCTTAATAAATATTATTATTGTCACTAATGTTATAATGGTGTGAAAAGACAAGGTGATTCATAGAAATTATGTGGCTGTACTTTGGATTCATTGGAGGAGGTGAAGCTGCAGAGGCACAGTCAAGATTGTAAGGAGCCGAAGGTCTGAATTTCATCTGGCAGGAGTTTCAGTGGGTTTTGAATAAGAAGCAAAATCTATCTAGGCATTATGAGCAGAAAGTTAGTAGATTCTTGGTACTGTTATGTAAGGGATGCTAAAGGCTCACCTATTCTGACTTTGAGGAAATTCTCTTTCTAATTTGTCTCCTGTATTGCTTTATCTGAGGGCATTGAAGCCAGTATTTGGGAGTCACACAAACATTCTATTCCAGCCAAATATTACTCACTCTCTTCATTAAGAAAGAAGAAACTTAATTTTCTAGGTTAGCAGATCCTTTTAAACTTAATTGTTTCATGTAGGATCAAAGAGTATTGGAGCTGGACTCACCTACATTTTGTGGAGAAGGTACGGAGGTCCTTACAGATGGTTATGGGACCACTGATTCTCCAGTCTGTGTTTCTTCCACTGTGCTCCACTGTCTTTCCTTCATGGAAATGTTCTGCTTGCCTGTCTGTCTCACTGTGGACCTTCCAATAGGGCTGTCATTCAAAAACCTATTGCTCTAGATACAGTGATTTTTTCAGTGATGGGCACTTGACCCAAGCAGTCATCCTGGAGCGGATCCGTGGGTGCTCTTAGAATTAGCAACATGTTTCAAGTTGAATGTTATGAATTAAGTGAATGGGCTTAACAGGTCATATTTATGTTTTGCCAAATGGAATTGCAACACAGCAATTCACATGGTGGGAGTTTTCCAACTTTATAATAAAATACCTTCCTGAAAACCTGGGACATATAGAACAGAAAGCATGAGTTATTTAGTTATTTGCTGGATGAAGTTAAGTAGCAGAAAGGATAGTAAAGGCACTAATATAGTAAAATATGTGTGTTTGGCAATGTTAAACGAATATGGTCAAGAAATAACACCCCGCCTTTCAGGTTTATCTCAACAAGGCTTATGATCAATGTTTCCTATGGCTGCCAAAAAGTTTTACAATTATATTAAAAAGATAAAATATTACTTTGTCTAAGCAATTTTGCCTAAAATTGTGACTCAGAGTACTTTGAGAACTTGAGTATTTTACCTTTATAAACATTTGGGGGAGCTTCTTTATTAACATCTAGTTAAATCTCACACCATAACTATGTTTATTCTATGTAGAGAATACAAGCATTTCATAAGCATTTTCTGCCATGCTTTTCTTTTCCATTGGATACTATAGTACATATTAGGACTCAGAAGGTTCACTTTTTCTTCTTGAACTGAATGGTCCATTTTTCCATGGTGAAGTGAGTTTTTACACATGACTCCAGTGCCTTGCCAAAAGTTCTGTGGCAGGTGCTGCATCTATAAAGACAATTAAGATGCCATCTTTGCCTTCAAGTGGTTCACAGTACAGTGACCAAAGTAGTTCACAGTCCATTAACCAAGTTGTTAGTGCAGAGATCCTATTTCTGTGGAGATAGGCACCACATATGTACCCAAGGAACACTTATTCACCATATGAATTCAAATAAATATAGAGTCTACTAATAACTAGGAAAGTGTTGGGAAATTTGGTGTACCCCTCACTTTTCTCTCTTCCGAGGTGCTCATCAGTGGAGTATGTACATGAAGATCCATAGTCACACGAAAATGAACTTCATTGTTAGAGGCAGAGGCCCTATAACTTTCCGAACACAATGTTTCCAGTAAATTTTGTCCTAGAAGCTGAGTTAGGCTTGAGACTGAACTTGGGTTTCCCTCCCATCAAATGGGAAGAGCCAGGCTCACAAAAATCCTGATTCACTTGTCAATATCTGGTAAAGAGATAAAGGGCAGTCCTACGCTGTTGTTTTTCATGTAGAGAGATAAGAAGCACAATCAGGCTGGCCGCAGTGGCTCACGCCTGTAATCCTGGCACTTTGGGAGGCTGAGGTAAGTGTGTCACAAGCTCAGGAGTTCGAGACCAGCCTGACCAACATGGTGAAACCCCGTCTCTACCAAAAATACAAAACTTAGCTGAGTGTGGTGGTGGTCGCCTGTAATCCCAGCTACTCGGGAGGCTGAGGCAGGAGAATCACTTAAACCCGGGAGGTGGAAGTTACAATGAACTGAGATGGCACCATTGCACTCCAGCCTGTGCAACAGAGCAAGACTCTGTCTCAAGAAAAAAAAAAAAAAAAGGCACAATCCCGCTCTGCATACCCAGATGGGGAAAATAAAAAAAAAGGGATAGGTACACACTTGATACCTGAGCCCAGCAACCCAAACCACAAGGAAAATGTGTTCTGATCAATGTTGCATTTACAACCTTGATAGCTACCCCAAAGTAGGTCTTATAGACCTTAGGGTCTACGATAGTCATTACTTTACACCTTTGATTTTTTTCTTCTTTAATATAATATGGCTCAGAATAAACCATGTTGAAAATCCTTCGTTTACAAGCAATGCAGATAGCACAAGATGGAGGAACCAGGAATGTTTTCTATAAAAACTCGTGAAAAAGAAAAGAAAGGGATCATCTCCTCCTTTGTGGGTTGAGACTCAAACGTGAGATGAGGGAGAAGGATGCAGCATTCAGGGCATTCAGGGTAGACTGAGGTCCAGCAAGGGTCCGGAGGTAGAAGAGAGCGAATCACGTTGATTGTGTCTGAAACTTTAAAGTTCAAGAGCTGAACAAAGATAGAAAAGAAGCTAGAAAAAAAGCTGGAGGGCTGACACAGAATATCACCACGGAATGGTAAGGAACCCCATTATTCCCATATTCCCTAAATTTAGCTTTTATCCTGAAAGCTGGGGCCTGTCCTTGAAAATCTAGAAGCAAGAGAATGACAGGGTTAGGTTGGAATTTTAGCAAAAGCACTTCAGTGTGAAGTGGAGAAAGATTAGAAGGGACTTGTTATAGGTTGAATTGTATTCCCTTTTAAAAGCGATGGTTGAGTTCCTAATGTCCAGTACCTCAGTTTGGAAATAGGGTCACTGCAGATGTAATTTATGAGTTTTTACTGAAGTACAGTGGTCCCCTAAGCCAATATGGCTGGTGTCCTTATTTTTAAAAAAAATGACTTGTTCACAGAGATAGACACACATAAAAGGAAGATGATGTGAAGAGACACAGGGAGAAGACAGGCATCTACAGGTCCAGGGGAGGGGCCTGGATTCTTCCCTCAGAGCCATCAGGAACAACTGATCCTGTTGACCTATTTTTTTTTTTTTTTTTTGAGATGTAGTTTCACTCTTGTTGCCCAGGCTGGAGTGCAATGGCATGATCTTGGCTCACTGCAACCTCTGCCTCCCAGGTTCAAGTGATTCTTCTGCCTCAGCCTCTTGAGTAGCTGGGATTACAGGCTTGTACCACCATGCCTGACTCGTTATTATTTTTAGTGAAGATGGGGTTTCTCTACTTTGGTTAGGCTGGTCTCGAACTCCCAACCTCAGGTTATCGACTTGCCTGAGCCTCCCAAAGTGTTGGGATGACCGGCATGAGCCACCACACCGCCCCTGTTGATCTATTAATCTTGAACTTCTGACCGACAGAACTGTGAGACAATACATTTCTGTTGTTCATGCCATCCAGTTTGTGGCATTTTGTTATGTAGCCCTGAGAAAGTAACACAGAATCCAAGATTGAAGACTAAGAGGACTGACAAACGCCTGAATTAAGATGCAATGAAGAGAAAGTTCTTGAAAGATATTCAAGAAGTAGAATTGATAGAATTTGGTGATTAATCAGGTGTGTGGAGTTAGCATAGTGAGTAAGATAGACCGATATTTCGGTCCTGACTCTGTTACTGCTGAATGATGTCAACTTAAACCATTCATTTTCTGTGTGCTTCAGTTTTTTTCATCTCTAGAGTAGGATGCATAATATTTCTCTGATGGTTAATTTTATGTGTTAATTTGGCTGGGCTAAGGGATGCCCAGATAGGTAGCAGAGCATTTCTAGGTGTGTCTTCGAGGGTGTTTCCAGAAGAGATTAGCATGTGAATCAGTAGATTGAGTACAGAAGATCACCCTCACCAATGTGAGTGGGCATCATCCAATCTGTTGAGGGCCCGGATAGAACAAAAGGCTGAGAAAGGACAAATTCCCTCTCACTGTTCACCTTCTCCTGCCCTCGTACATCAGAGTTCTTGGTTTTAGAGCCTTCAGATGCTGGGACTTCCCTCAGTGACTTCCCTGGTTCTCAGGTGTTTGGGTTCAGACTGTATTGTACCATCAGTTTTCCAGCTTGCATAATCATGTCAATGAATTTTCATAGTAATATCTCTCTTTCTTATATAGCTAGATATAGATATATACTGGCTCTGTTTCTCTGGAGAACATTAATACAGTTTCCATCTCATTGAGTTGTTGTGCCAGACAGGAGAATGAATGTTAAAATCTTACTGCACTGGCAAAATAAATACTTTATATGGTAATATTGGTAAATAGAATAAATACTCAATAATTTTTTTAAAAGTTTATTTCAATAGTTTCGGGGAACAGGTAGTTTTCGATCACATGGAAAAGTTGTTTAGTGGTGATTTCTGAGATTTTGGTGTACCTGTCACCTAAGCAGTGTACACTGTGCCCAGTGTGTAGTCTTTTATCCCTCACTTCTCTCCCACCCTTCTCCCCAAGTCCCAAAAGTCCATTGTATCCTCCTTATGCCTTTGCATCCTTATAGTTTAGCTCCCACTTATAAGTAAGAACATACAATGTTTTGTTTTCCATTCCTGATTCACTTCACGTAGAATAATGGTCTCCTGATCCGTCCAGGTTGCTGCAAATGCCATTATTTTATTCCTTTTTATGGCTGAGTAGTATTCCATAGTGTATATATTCCACATTTTCTTTATCCACTCAGTTGATGGGCATTTAGCTTGGGTCTATATTTTTGCAATTACGAATTGTGCTACTATAAAAAAACATGCATGTGCAAGTGTCTTTGTAATATATTGACTTCTTTTCCTTTGGGTAGATACCCAGTAGGGGGATTGCTGGATTGAATGGTACTTCTACTTTCAGTTCTTTAAGGAATCTTAATATTGTTTTCCACAGTGGTTGTGCTAGTTTATATTCCCACTAGCAGTGCAAAAGTGTTTCCTTTTCACCACATCCATCCCAACATCTCTTATTTTTTATTTTTAAATTGTGGCCATTCTTGCAGGAGTAAGGTGGTATCTCATTGTGGTTATAATTTGCACTTCTCTGATAGTTAGTGATGTTGAGCGTCCTTTTATATGATTGTTGGCCATTTGTATATCTTTTTTTGAGAACTGTCTATTCATGTCCTTAACCACTTTTTGATGTGGTTATTTGTTTTTTTTCTTGCTGTTTTGTTTGAGTTTCTTGTAGATTCTGGATATTAGTCCTTTGTTGGATGCATAGTTTGTGAATATTTTCTCTTACTCTGTGGGTTGTCTGTATACTCTGCTGATTATTTCTTTTGCTTTGCAGAAGCCTTTTAGTTGAATTAGGTCCCATCTAGTTATTTTTGTTTTTGTTGCATTTGCTTTTGGGTTCTTAGTCATGAATTCTTTGCCTAAGTCAATGTCTAGAAGAGTTTTTCAAATGTTGTCTTCTAGATTTTTTATGGTTTCAGGCCTTAGATTTAAGTCTTTGATCTATATTGAGTTGATTTTTGTATAAGGTGAGACATAAGGATCCAGTTTCATTTTTCTGCATGTAACTTGCCAGTAATCCCAGCACCATTTGTTGAATAGGGTGTCCTTTCCCTGCTTTTTGTTTTTGCATGCTTTGTTGAAGATTAGTTGGCTGTAAGTATTGGCTTTATTTCTGCATTCTCAATTCTGTTCCATGCCTATGTTTATATCAGTACCATCCTATTTTGGTAACTATAGTCTTTTGTATAGCTTGAAGTCAGGTAATACAAAGCCTTCAGATTTGTTCTTTTTGCTTAGTATTGCTTTGGCTATGTGGGCTCTTTTTTGGCTTCGTATGAATTTTAGGATTGATTTTTCTAGTTCTGTGAAGAATGATGGTGGTATTTTGATGGGAATTGCACTAAATTTGTAGATTGTTTTTGGTGGTATGGTCATTTTTATAATATTTATTCTACCCATTCATGAGCATGAGATGTGTTTCCAATTGTTTGTATCATCTATGATTTCTTTCAGCAGTGTTTTGTAATTTTCCTTGTACAGATCTTTCACCTCCTTGGTTAAGTATATTCCTAGGTATTTTATTTTTTTGCAACTGCCGTAAAAGGGATTGAGCTCTTGATTTTATTGTCAGCTTGGTAATTGGTGTATAGCAGTGTTACTGATTTGTGTACATTGATTTTGTATCCTGAAACTTTACTGAATTCATTTATCAGACCTAGGAGGTTTTTAGATGAGTCTTCAGGGTTTTCTAGGTGTATAGTCATCATTAGTGAACAGTGACAGTTTGAGTTTCTGTTTTCCAATTTGGATGCCCTTTGTTTCTTTCCCTTGTCTAATTGTTCTGGCTAGGTCTTCCAGTACTATGTTGAATAGAAGTGACTGCTTTCTCCCTGAGAACTGGAATAAGACAAGGGTGCCCATCTTCCCACTTTTCCCCATTCAGTGTGGTATTGGCTGTGGGTTTGTCATATATGGCTTTTATTACTTTGAAATATGTCCCTTCAATGCCAGTTTTGCTGAGGGTTTTAATTATAAAGCGATGCTAGGTTTTGTCAAATGCTTTTTCTGCATTTATTGAGATGATTACAGCTAGTGCTCGACTTATGACCATGATTGGTTCCGACAGGCCGGTCGTAACACGATTTGGTCGTAAGTTGAGTAGGCTATATGTACAGTACTGTGAAATGATGTTATAAGAATCTTTAAGTCATATTTTATCATAATTTTCTTTCATTATTGTTATATATCATAATTTTCTTTGTTCATTTTATGCCATTTGTATCATCTCTACACCATTTTGTTTCTTATTTTTACATTTGTCAGGTTTAAGTAAAACACTCCATTACCAGTACAACGGGTTTAATATTTGCAAAATATACAAAATTACAAAATACAGGTGCATACAAAAACACGAAATACAGATGTAAAAAATACCATAGGAAACATTTTCCCAATTGCAAAACATATCAAAATATATAAACATGTACGAAACATTTTATTGGCCGCTGGTGCTTGGCTGCGGATCATTGATGTCATCATCTGAGGCAGCTGTTGGGGTTACCGGAGTTGGTTTTTTCATAAACATGGTGAGCTTTGTCTGAATTGTATGTTCTTTTTTTCTTCATAAATTTCACGATACGGATGAAACACATCGTGCGCCATCCGTTCAATCCTTGCAAATCGTTCGATGTTTCGGTCCATTGCTTCGAAATGTATAAGAAGTTTATTGGGAGGGGTTTGATGAAAAATATCCAAGACACAAAACACAAATTGCTGTACCGAGTCTGGGATAACAGTTGAAATGGTGCATGCGGAGATGGTAGTGCTGCCGGAAGCTGGTCCACACTGTCGTCCACCCAGCTGGGCAACGTTTGCTCTGCCAGACGTGGAGTAGTCGTGGCTAGCGATTGTGGTCGTAAAGTCGAATGGTCGTAAGTTGCATAGGTAGTAAGCCGATCAATACCTGTATATGATTTTTGTTTTTAATTTTCTTTATGTGATGTATAATATTTATTGACTTGCATATGTTAAACTATTGCTGGTATGAAACCCACTTGATCATGATGTATTATCCTCTGTATACATTTTTGTTGAGGATTTTTACTTCTATGTTTAACAGAGATATTGGTCTGTAGTTTTCTTTTTTGTTATGTTCTTTCCTGGTTTTGGTATTACAGTGATATTGGCTTCATAGAATGATTTGGGGAGGATTCCCTCTTTCTCTGTCTTTTGGAATAGTATCAGTAGGATTGGTACCAATTCTTCTTTAAGGTCGCATAAAATTCAGCTGTGAATCCATCTGGCCCTGGACATTTTTTTGTTGGCAATTTTTTAAAATTACTGTTTCAATCTTGCTACTTTTTACTGGTCTGATCAGGGTTTCCTGTTTCTTCCTGATTTAATCCAGAAGGGTTGTATATTTCCAAGAATTTATCCATCTCCTCTAGATTTTCTAGATTGGGCATGTAAAGGTGTTCATAATAGCTTTGAGTGATCTTTTGTAGTTCTGTGGTATTTGTTGTAATATCTCCTGTTTGGTTTCTTATAGTGCTTTTTTGTATCTTCTGTCTTCTTTCCTTGGTTAATCTCACTAATAGTCAGTTTTGTTTATCTTTTTGAAAAACCAACCAATAATCAATTTTATCTTTTTGAAAAACCAACTTTTTGTTTTATCTTTTGTATTTTTGTTTGTTTCAATTTCATTTAGTTCTGCTCTGATCTTTTTTATTTCTTTTCTTCTGCTGTATTTGGGTTTGGTTTGTTTTTTTCCTCTAGTTCCTTGAGGCGTGACATTAGTTTGTTTATTTGTGCTCTTCAGACTTTTTGATGTAGGCGTTTAATGCTATGAAGTTTCCTCTTAGCACTGCTTTTGCTGTATTCTAGAGGTTTTGTTAAGTGTGTCACTATTATTATTCAGTTCAAAGAATTTTTGAATTTCCATCTTGGTTTCACTGTTAGGCCAAAGAGTATTCAAGAGCAGATCACTTAATTTCCATGTATTTTTATAGTTTTGAGGGTTTCCTTTGGAGTTAATTTCCAGTTTTATTCCATTGTGGTCTGAGTTAATACATGATATCGTTTTGATTTTCTTAAATTTATTGAGACTTTTTTGTGGTCTATCATGTGGTCTGTCTTAGAGAATGTTTTGTGTGCTGATGAAAAGAATGTGTACCCTGCAGTTATTGGGTAGAATGTTCTGTAAATATCTATTAAGTCAATTTGTTCTAGAGTATAGTAGAAATCTATTGTTTCTTTGTTGATTTCTGACTTGGTGACCTGTCTAGTGCTGTCAGTGGAGTACTAAAGTCCCCACTATTATTGTGTTGCTGTCTATCTCATTTCTTAGGTCTAGTAGTAATTGTTTTATGACTTTGGAGCTCCAGTGTTAGGTGTATATATATTTAGGACTGCAATATTTTCCTGTTGGACTAGTCCTTTTATCATTATATAGGTCCTTTTTTGTATTTTTGATGTTGTTGCTTTAAAGTCCTTTTTGTCTGATATAAGAATGGCTACTTCTGCTTGCTTTTGATTTACATTTGCATGGAATATCTTTTTCCACCCTTTTACCTTAAGTTTATGTGAGTTCTTACGTGTTAGGTGAGTCTCTTGAATATAGCAGGTACTTGGTTAGTGGACTTTTCTCTATACTGACAATCTGTATCTCTTAAGTGAAGCATTTAGGCCATTTGCATTTAACGTTAGTATTGAGATATGAGATACTGTTCTATTCATCATGTTAGTTGTTGCCTAAATACCTTTTTTTCATTGTATTATTGGGCCCTGTGTGATTTGTGCTTCAGGAAGGTTCTATTTTGGTGTATTTTGAGGTTTTTGTTTAAAGTTTTAGAACTTTTTTTTAGCAGTTCTTGTAGTGCTAGATTAGTAGTGGCAAAATCTCTTAGCATTTATTTGTCTGAAAAAGATTTTATCTCTCCTTCATTTATGAAGTTTAGTTTTTGCTGGATACAAAATTCTTGGATAACAATTATTTTGTTTAAGGAGGCTAAAGATAGAACCCCAATTCCTTCTGGCTGTAAGATTTCTGCTGACATGTCAGCTGTTAATCAGATAGGTTTTCCTTTATAGGTTACTGATGCTTTTGTCTCACAACTCTTAAGATTCTTTCCTTTGTCTTGACTTTAGATAATGTGATGACTGTGTGCCCATGATGGCAGTCTTTTTGTGACGAATTTCCTAAAATTAATCAACAAGTTCTTTGAGTTTCTTGTATTTGGATATCTAGATCTCTAGCAAGGCCAAAGAAGTTTTCCTTACTTTTCCCCTCAAATAAGTTTTCCAAACTTTTAGATTCCTCTTCTTCCTCAGGAATATGAATTATTATGCTTAGGTTTGGCTATTTAACATAATTCCACATTTCTTGGAGGCTTTAAAATTTCTTTTCTTTCTCTTTCTCTTTCTGGGTTAATTTGAAAGCCTTGTCTTTGAGCTCCACGTTCTTTCTGCTACTCATCCTAGTCTATTGTTGAAACTTTCCATAGAATTTTGTATTTCCCTAAGCGTGTCTTTCATTTTCAGAAGTTGTGATTGTTTTTTCTTTATGTCTATTTCTCTGGAAAAATTTTCATCCATATCCTGAATTGTTTCATTTCTTTAAGTTGGTTTTTATGTTTCTCTGATATCTTCTTTATCTGATAATTCAGAGATTTCTTCTTCGTTTGAACCCATTGTTGGAGAGCTAGTGTGATCTTTTGGGAGGTGTTACAGAACCCTATTTTTTCTTTCTTTTTTTTTTTAATTGTACTTTAGGTTCTGGGGTACATGTACAGATCATGCAGGATTGTTGCATGGTATATACATGGTATATACATGTATATATAGGTATATACATGGCAGGGTGGTTTGCTGCCTTCATCCCCCCATCACCTGTATCTGGTATTTCTCCCCATGTTATCCCTCCTCACCTGCCG